TCATGTTCATTTTAAGTGATTCACTTCAACAAATCCTCAGGTTATGAATGTAATTGGCAAGCTCCATTACATTTCTAACTCGAGGGCTACCTGTATTTGTATGTAAACAAGCACAAATGGGATTCTTATATACACTTGCCACGTCCCCAACGTCCCCATGTGGCTGGCTAAGCCACTACGGCACGGCACAGCACGGCTCCATTCCAGGCCGCGCTGCCTGCAGCCTAGTTTGCTGTGGCCCCATCGTCCCCACGTGGCTGGCTAAGCCGCCACAGCCCGGCACAGCTCCATTCCAGGCCACACTGCCTGCAGCCTAGCTTGCCACGGACCCCCCACTGTCCTCACCGGGTTTGCAACCTTACCTTCCTCCCATGGCTGGTGGCAGAGGGGAAGGCAAGCACTGCTCCTCGGCCCCACCCATGCGTTTTCAAACCCGGGCTATTGCAATCGCTTTTCACTCCAAGCAGCCCGGGTGTTTAAGCACAGCTGGGGCCAAGGAGCGGTCCTCCTTAACAAGCTCCAAAACTGATTCAAGCCTTGGTTCCTCATGGGGGCTGGAAGTAACAGCCTCAGATGTTTCTCTCTGCCTGGCTTTCTGGGGACCTATCCAAAGCGCTGTGCTGCAAAAGACGCTCTCGGCTCTCCCAGCAACAGCAGAGGCAGAGAGAAGAAGCAACTGCTGATCACATGGAGCTACTCCACGTGTTCTCCGGTGACTTGTTTTCTCTCCAGACTTGCTGGGAGAGCGAAAGCGTCTTTCGCAGCACAGTGAAATTTAGCTTTGGGTCCGACTTCACTCTCATCGAGAAAGTGCTGTGGGCAGCAGAGAAAATCAGCCAGGTGGAATCCTGTTTCTCTCTGCCACCCACAGCGTTTTCCCGATGGGAGTGTGACTTTCAGGACCCAAAGCAGCAACTCCCAGTTGCTAAAGTAAATTTCGCTGTGCTGCACAAGATGCTTTCCCAGGGCCCCAAGGGCCACCCTCCCAGAGCACCGCTGCCGCCATGCTCTCCTTCTGGCACCGCTATGGCTGGCACCACTCTGGAGCTTGCCTTCGGGACGGATCAGTAAGTTCTTGCTTTGCTCCCTGGGAAGGGCTCCATCGTGGAGGGCTGTGTGCCCAGACTAGGCGCCTTTTCTCGGGCCTCTCGCTTTGCATGTCTTGGAAGGAGGAAGGGAAGAGGGAAAGAAAGAAAGAAAGAAAGAAAGAAAGAAAGAAAGAAAGAAAGAAGAGCCTAGCTTGCCACGTCCCCAACGTCCCCATGTGGCTGGCTAAGCCACTACGGCACGGCACAGCACGGCTCCATTCCAGGCCGCGCTGCCTGCAGCCTAGTTTGCTGTGGCCCCATCGTCCCCACGTGGCTGGCTAAGCCGCCACAGCCCGGCACAGCTCCATTCCAGGCCACACTGCTGCTGCAGCCTAGCTTGCCACGGACCCCCCACTGTCCTCACCGGGTTTGCAACCTTACCTTCCTCCCATGGCTGGTGGCAGAGGGGAAGGCAAGCACTGCTCCTCGGCCCCACCCATGCGTTTTCAAACCCGGGCTATTGCAATCGCTTTTCACTCCAAGCAGCCCGGGTGTTTAAGCACAGCTGGGGCCAAGGAGCGGTCCTCCTTAACAAGCTCCAAAACTGATTCAAGCCTTGGTTCCTCATGGGGGCTGGAAGTAACAGCCTCAGATGTTTCTCTCTGCCTGGCTTTCTGGGGACCTATCCAAAGCGCTGTGCTGCAAAAGACGCTCTCGGCTCTCCCAGCAACAGCAGAGGCAGAGAGAAGAAGCAACTGCTGATCACATGGAGCTACTCCACGTGTTCTCCGGTGACTTGTTTTCTCTCCAGACTTGCTGGGAGAGCGAAAGCGTCTTTCGCAGCACAGTGAAATTTAGCTTTGGGTCCGACTTCACTCTCATCGAGAAAGTGCTGTGGGCAGCAGAGAAAATCAGCCAGGTGGAATCCTGTTTCTCTCTGCCACCCACAGCGTTTTCCCGATGGGAGTGTGACTTTCAGGACCCAAAGCAGCAACTCCCAGTTGCTAAAGTAAATTTCGCTGTGCTGCACAAGATGCTTTCCCAGGGCCCCAAGGGCCACCCTCCCAGAGCACCGCTGCCGCCATGCTCTCCTTCTGGCACCGCTATGGCTGGCACCACTCTGGAGCTTGCCTTCGGGACGGATCAGTAAGTTCTTGCTTTGCTCCCTGGGAAGGGCTCCATCGTGGAGGGCTGTGTGCCCAGACTAGGCGCCTTTTCTCGGGCCTCTCGCTTTGCATGTCTTGGAAGGAGGAAGGGAAGAGGGAAAGAAAGAAAGAAAGAAAGAAAGAAAGAAAGAAAGAAAGAAAGAAAGAAAGAAAGAAAGAAAGAAAGAAAGAAAGAAAGAAAGAAAGAAAGAAAGAAAAGAGAGAGAGAGAGAAAGAAAGAAAGAAAGAGAGAAAGAAAAGAAGAAAGAAAAAGAGAAAGAAAAGAGAGAGAGACAAAGAAAGAGGAAGGAAGACAGGAAGGAAGGAAGGAAGAAAGGAAGGAAGGAAGGAAGGAAGGAAGGAAGGAAGGAAGGAAGGAAGGAAGGAAAAGAAAGAGGAAGGAAGGAAGGGAAGGAGAGAGAGAGAAAGAAAGAAAGAAGAGGAAGGAAGGACCACAAACCCTGGCACTAGAAGATGCTTTGAAACAGCACAGCAATCTAGGGCTGGAAGGGATCTCAGAGGTGATCTAATCCAACCCCCTACTCCACCAGGAGTTCCTTACAGAATCATAGAATAGCAGGGTTAGAAGTGACCTTGGACGCCATCTAGTCCAACCCACTGCTCCAGCAGGAAACCTTATATCATCTGGATTATTTTGGTGCCTCTAACAAAGAGGAAAACTGCCAGACAGAAGAAGGCGTTTACTAGGACAAGGCTGCCATGCAGAGGAAGGCAGAAATAGTCCTTGACTTATGAGCACAATTGAACCCAAAATTTTGGTTGCTCAGCAAGACAGTTGTTAAGTGAGTTTCACCACATTTTACTCAATCCATGACATCTCCTGGCTCTAACAGTCATGTGCAAGCTAGGGAAGAACATCTGAAGGCGTGTGTAATGTTCTAATGTACAGAAGTTACAGTTAAATGTGTGGCAGAAAGTGGACTCTGGGTGTGTTTTTCCAAATGCAGTAAGTGAGGTTGAATGTTTTAGAAGACCTGTGTGTCTGTACATACACATACAGTATATATAGTAGATAATGTATCTTTTTGTGTGCCTATACACACTCTATACTATGTAATATGCATGTACACATATAGCATATATACATAGGATTAAATAGTATATTTTGGATGTTCAGTAGTAGTAAATAAATAGACAGGGAAATTGTATCTTGTTGAGGTCTTTGAGGCGAGGAGAGGCAAGGGCCCCTTGACATAAGTGACGTTAAGTTGACCACTCCCACCCAGTCACATGACCACCAGCCACGCCCACCCAATCACATGACCACCAAGCCACACCCGCCAAGCCACGCCGACAGAACCGGTAGTAAAAAATTTGAATCCCACCACTGCTACAGACATATAGCCAAATCCAGTAAATAGGTAATGCAAGTAAGCCGATATGGTAAATATTTTTTTACCGCTAGGATACCTCAGCTATAACAATTCTGTGCATTTTAGGTTTTTAAATTAATAAAGATTTACTATATAATCCATCTATTCTATGACTTTTTTTCAACCACATGGGGACGGTTCTCATACACTCTGGTCTACTCACAGAAAATATCATATAAAGTAGAAAACAAATCAGTTAGGGACTTGCATATGTGGACAGATTTCTGATGGAACTCTGAGTACCACATATGGAAACAGAGAAAAAGAATTTATATTAGTGAATTCAAGCCTAATACATACTGTAACTGATAATTAGATCAGGTAGAACCAGTACTAAATGAACACATGTAAAGAAGGAAATTGTACTGAGTTTTCTTAAATATGCAAATACTAAAAGTAAGTGCATGAAAACTTAAGTATGACAATTCTTCAGATCTTCCTGCATTTAGCATAAAATTTTATCTGGCCCAATAGAAATCGAAAATGAAACAACACAGAGCATCCACCTAAAAAACACTGTGATGGCTCCAATAAGGGACCATAATGAGGAACAAAGGCTTTTATGTGCTAATATAATATAGAAATGAATCAAGATGCTGAAAAAATACAAATAAATACAGGAAATTTAAAACTGAGCAGTTAGAAATGTTGGAAATTATAAAAAGTTGTCACCACAACCAATTTTAGGTATAAATAATTCTGAGGAAAAAGTGTTTTGTGAAATAATTTTCAGCTGTTAAAAAAAATGCTATTTAATTAACAACTGGCTAAAGTTGTTTGGAATATGATATGCTGTTTTAAAAAAAATACATCGAAGGGTATCTAAAACAGAACTGAATACTATCAGAAACATGAATAATGACTGCAATAATAAATCAGAGGAAGACATTACAAAAATAAGAAACAGAGGTAGTACCAAACAAGACCACTTGAAATCTCAATACTTAGAATACCTCTTGGAAGGGAATCATGTTGTAAATTCTATAGAAAAATAAATAAGCCTGCAATATTATTGCATGCAAACATTATTACAAGACAAAATAAATTCAGAAGTTGTAGCTAAATACGTTAAAAATGACAGGCTTAAACATTATTATTTAAGATTCAAAGAAGCTGAAAACAGTAAAGATACTCAAAATGAGGAAATTTGTGTAAAAAATTAACACACCTTTCTTGTTGGGAAAAAACAACAAATAATCAAAAACTGTAAAACTAGAAGGTTAGAAGAACAGATTTTTTTTTCTTAACTAATTGTAAATGAAAGATAACCATCTTACATAAAACTTATCAAAACCCATTAAAACAATTGTGAATAACCTTTTTTCTCTCAAAATCTGCTTTTTTACAAAATGAGATAAGATATGTTAGGGTCATTTTCTCTGCACTGCACATACATCCTACTTCACAGTATTACTTTTAATTTTAAGACTTACCAGTTACATTGTTCAAAACATCTTTCAAAACACTGAAGCTGTGCAATAAGGGATCACGTTCTTCATCCTAAACATATGAATATATTGTTATATATTTAAAGCTGGATATTACACCATTCCTAAAAAAAAACACATGTGCCCAGAAATTTAGGAATTGGAGCATGAAAATCTTGTCAAAAGTGTTTAGCTAAGAATAAAAAGAGAAACAAAAATAATACATTCAGGTGAGGATTTCTTTTTCATAGACTATATAAGCAAGCAAAAATATAAATGACGTCTTCCAGCATCACATTAGTCCTTTGGAGGCATATAACTGGGATAATGAGAGATTTCAATTATCCTGATATCTGCTGAGCACTTAATTTGGTCAAGAATCTAAGGTCCAACAAAATCTGATGGATCAAGTGATAAAGAGTTTTCTGTTGGTACAAATGTAATATCAGATCATGCTCCAGTGACTGCTAAACTGAAATCTGAAAACTCGATTAACTAACATTTGAATTAATAAAATAAATTTCCTGTGTGGAACATTAAAACACTTTTTTTTAATGAAAGAAATCTATGTTTATCACCTGTTCAGAACTCTTTTAAGGCATATTGTACATTTGTCGATGCATGATAACTTTTGCTTCAGAAATCTAGAGATATTATTCTAGAGCAGGGGTGTCAAACTCAAGGCCCGCGGGCCTCATCTGGCCCCCAATGAGGTCAGATCTGGCCTGCACAGCCATCTTGGAAACTGTAAAGGACCGGCCTGCATCATTTCAGCCTGACCCACACCATCTCAGCGGGCAGATACATGCACAGGAGGCGGGCACACATGCACACAGGCCCGGTTTGCTGCCGCTGCCATGTGCAGGGTAACAAAAGTAGTCTGTGGAACTACGGTAAAAATGACCCGTTCGGACAGGTCATTATTCCATATCAAGTGGTCTGGTGCTCCCAGGTGGACCATCACAGATTTTGATGAAATTTGGTGTAAACATGCACACACGTCCCCAATGAACATTGGTAAAGTGTTATGTTTGCCGATGCAATATACTTGCGGAGATAGTCATTTGTATGACTCCATACCGCAGCCTTCGACAGTATGACTCTGAGATTTCAGCAACTTTGAGATATAATATCTCTGGCAATATTTTGTTGAGAGAAACAAAATGTGGCCATCTTGTAGAACTTGTGCTCTATTAAACAAAATAATAAAAACATTCTCATGAGCGATCTCCATCTAGATAATTGGGAGCAAAGTTGGCCAAAAATGACTGCGGCGCAAAAAAAGGGTAAAGTTTGGCTTCTTATATCTCTGGAAAAAAAGACATGAGAAGTGTGAAACTTTGTGCGTAATAATTTAGCAGCACAAGGTTGTTGAATATAAAATTTCATTCTCCTACTGCCTTCCAATAGTTCACAAATTGAGTGTAAAGTTAATGGTTTTTGTAAAAATGCCAAAAATAGGATATTTTCAGCCCACTTTTACAAAAAAAGACCTTCTAGAAACTGTTAAATCATTCTCATTAGAAAGAGCATGTTTCAACCCCCCTAAAAAAGGACAGTTGGTGTTTCATCGCTGACGTAGAAAGCCATAAAAATAGGGACAAAGTGGAGGACGTTGTATGGCAACGTCACATCCATTCTATTATTGTTTCATCTTGTTTGTTTTATATAAACATCACTACTGCTATTATATTGCATCGGTCCATGGTGACATTGTCATTACCAGTTCAGGCACTTGACCCACCAACCCCATCGCCATAGGGGGCACAACTGATAGCCATGCAATTTCAGCCACGGGTGGGTTTCTTGGTTCAGGATCCCAAGCCTGTAGTTTGGTTTCTTCCTTGAGGTTCCAAAGCCTTATATCTCCGCAAGTATTACATTAGCAAACATAACACTTTACCAATGTTCATTGGGGACATGTGTGCATGTTCACAGCAAATTTCATCAAAATCCGTGATGGTCAACCTGGGCACTTTCCTGAAATCAGACCGCTTGACATGGAATGACCCAGACCTTCCAACATTGCAAGACCTTTTTTTTTCTTGAGAAGTTGGAAGGTCTAAACTATTTTTTTTTATCATAGTTCAGGGGTGTCAAACTCGATTTCACTGAGGGCCGGATCAGCATTGTAGTTGTCCTCCTGGGGCTGGGGGGGGGGCAGGGACATGGCTGAGGTGGTCGTGTGGCCCGGGGGTGTGGACGGCTTGACATTGCTTGCATGAGTGGTGCCTGTGGGGGTGGATCAGGGTTGGAAAGGGAATCCAGGGGTCTCTGGTAGGTGGGGTGAAGAGTGGGAGGCTCATCCCGCAGTTTGAGGTGAGGCGAGGCAGGGGGTGGGGCAGCTACAGTCAATCTGCCTTCTGCCGCTCAGTTTCCTACCCCACCCCTAACAGGCTGGTTTGGTCTGGTGGGGGGGATTGGTGGGGGAGATTGCCTTCCACCTTCACCACCGCACCATGAACGGGGATTGAACATTCCCCAAACCCCGCCGCTATCAAAGTAAATCCCGGGCACTTCGCTGCAATAGACAGACAAAAAACACAGCTGAGTGAGAAGCGCCCCACCGGCCAGGCACTGAAGCACCACCACTGTGCCAGAGAGAGATAGCACGAGAGTGATCCAATCCAACCTGTGTGTGTGTGAGAGTGAGAGAGAGAGAGAGGGAGGGAGAGGGAGAGGGAGAGGGAAAGGGAGAGGGAGAGGGAAAGGGAGAGGGAGAGAGATCTCCAATCCAACCTCGGAGAGTTATACCAGGGCTGGCAATGGTGTGTTTCAGTGCCTGGCCAGCAGGGCATTTCTCACTCAGCTGCTCTTTCTTCTCCCTGCTCCTCGTTCTCCTTCAGACAAAGGCTGTGCTTTTCATCTGTTCATTGCAGCACAGCAAGAGATTTACTTTCACAACGGCAGGGCTTGGGGGATGGTCAATCCCCATTCGTGGCATGGTGAAGGCGGAAGACAATCCCCCCCACCAGACCAAAGTGGCACCGAAAGCAGCTCTCTCTCTCACACACACACACAGAGGTTTGATCAGATTGTTCTCTCACTCTTACCCACCTCATGGCGGCGGCACCAGCCATGCTCTCCACGGTGGCCTGCACTGCTTCGTCCTCCACCCCCTCCCCCACCTCGCTTTGTTCGCCTGAAGGCTCAACCCATCCAAGACTGAGTGGTTGTGGTTTCCGACATCCCGATATAGTCAGCTGGCGCCATCGCTGACTATTGGGGGCGAATCATTGGCCCCCACAGAAAGGGCTCGCAACTTGGGCGTCCTCCTGGATTCACTGCTGTTTTTAGAAGAACACTTGACGTGACCAGGAGGGTTTTTCATCAGGTTCGTCTGATTCGCCAGTTGCGTCCCTTTCTAGATCCGGACTCTCTACACAGTCACTCATGCCCTCGTCACCTCTCGTCTGGACTATTGTAACGCTCTCTACATGGGGCTCCCCTTGAGGTGCACTCAGAGGCTCTAACTGGTGCAGAGTGTGGCCGCGCGGGTGGTTATGGGAGCGATGTGGAGTTCCCATGTAACACCTCTCCTGCGCGAGCTGCACTGGCTCCCGATGGTCTTCCGAGTGCGCTTCAAGGTTCTGGTTATCACCTTTAAAGCGCTCCATGGCTTAGGACCTGGTTATCTACGGGACCGCCTGCTACCACCAATAGCCTCCCACCGGCCAGTACGCTCCCATAGAGAGGGGCTCCTCCGGGTGCCGTCAGCCAAACAGTGTCAACTGGCGGCCCCTAGGGGGAGAGCCTTCTCTGTGGGGGCACCTACGATCTGGAATGAGCTCCCCCCGGAGATACGGAGGATCCCGGATCTGCGCACCTTCCGTTGCGCGCTTAAGGCTTTTTTATTTCATCAAGCTGGCCTGGCCTAAATCTTCTCCCCTTTTTAAATGTAAATTTTTAAATGTAAATTTTAATTTGTTTTTAAATTATGGGGTATTTTAAATTCAGACAAATTATTCAATTCGTTTTTAATTTATTTTAAATTTTTGTATTTATGTGTTTTATCTTGTGGCTGTTCACTGCCCTGAGCCCTTCGGGAGAAGGGCGGTATAGAAATTTAATAAAATAAATAATAAATAAATAAATAGTGGTGAAGAATTACTTTACCACTTCTTCTCCTTGCTTGTAGCCGTAACGGAGCAGGAGGATGAGTGATGCACTGGTACAGCAGCCAGAAAGCAAGGTGGTGGAGGGATGGAAGACGAAGCAAGGCAGAGGGTGCAGAGCTGTCCCACACACCGGCTTACCTGAGGGCCTCAGAGCCAGGCCATCAACGTTATGACAATTGACTGGCCTCTCAGCAGCAGCTCCAGAAACCCTGTCCAGGACCCTGCATAGCCATCAGCCTGCTTTCTCTTTGGTTGCTGCCACAATGGAGCAAGAGGCTGAGTGACACACATGGGACTGAACGGGGCTGCTGGAACGGACGAGGCAGTTGTCAGGATGTTGATGACCTGGCGTGGGCCAGGCCGAAGTGATGCAAGCCGGCACTTTACAGTTTCCAGGATGGCTGCGTGGGCTGGCTCTGACCTCATCACGGGCCACATCCGGCCCGCGGGCCTCACGTTTGACACCCCTGTACTACAATAATATTCTGGAAGTGGTTAATGGATTAAGACAAGACCCCACCTCTTCCAATGTGCCTCTTGCTCCCTTCTTCCCATCTTGTCAATTTTAACTCAATTTTATTGTTAATATTTCTAGTTTTAATGCTTTAATGTTTTACCTTGTGGGTTTTTACAATTGTAAGCCATCTAGATTCCCTCTGGGTGAGATGAACAACACACAAGTTTAGTACATGAATAAGAAATAAATAAGAATAAGAATAAGAATAAACTAGGGTAATTACACAAATGGAATAATGCTTGAAATGAACTAAGAAAAAATAGAGAATCTAGTGATAAAGCTGGAAGCTTACTACCCTATCAGCTGAAGTAACATCTAAAACACTATTTCAAAAATCTAGTCTAACATCTGTCATTTATAGACAGCAATATTAAACATATAGATCAGAAGTCCCCAACCTTTGCGGCTTAAAGGCCCAGGCAAGAGGGAGGGAGGGAG